GGACATAAAATTTTGATTTTTTAGCTTCAAAAAATGTATAATTCAATACTATCGTGTTAAGTGATTTTAATCGTGGATCTGATGTAATCTCTGGATCAATATAAAAGAATACAGGTAGATCAACCTATAGAAATACAAAAGACGAAAAAAGGCAATAGAAAAGTTACAATCAGTGTTAATCATATGATTTCAAATTCCAAATAGAACACCGAGAAATTGATAAAGAAGACATTATGGTTAGCTATGATATTAACTCATTATATACTAGTATCCATCCCTATTACCGAAAGTCTTGATATCATTTCCAGTCTACTAGAATCAGATACAACGCTATCACACAGATGTCCACTAGACACCAGTGAAATAATTAAGAGCTTAAAATTCTGTCCAGAAAGTAATAATTTTACATTGAAAGGGAGTTTATATAGACATACAAATGGTGTTGCTATGGGCTCACCAGTTTCCCCAATAATCTCTGATCTTTTCATGAATATATATTCGAAGATAACATCTTTTCAAACATACTCACTTCTAAAATATGGTTAAGATATGTAGATGATACTTTTGTAGTGCTAAAACGAGCGAGATCTACACAGTGTTCATTCTTGGAGAAAATAAACACTCAATCTCCCAGAATCAAGTTTACTTCAGAAGCAGGCAGAATCAGACGTCTATGAACTACCATCTCTAGACTGCCTAGTTAAGAGGGGGGGAAATGGACATTTTGGTATATCTATATTCAGGAAGAAAACCCACTCAAATAAATATTTAGACTTCAAGTGATCACACCCCATCAGCTCAAAGGTTTCAGTTGTTTCAAGTCTTCTTAGATGAGCACACTATATGATAACCGACGAGAAAGAAAAAGAAATATCAAACATTACTGAAGCTCTCAAGCAAAACAACTACCCATGGAACTTCATCAACAAAATCAACACAGACATTAAGTATGGACGAAAACGCATTCCGAAAACATGGACATCAACAGTTGTTATTCCATATAGAGTGGAGACGTCAGACGATATCAGAAGAGTACTCAATCAGCTCGACATTACAGTTCTTTTCAAAACATCAGATACACTGAGAAATAACCTTGTCCATGTAAAAGATCAAATCACTAAGGATTCTCGATCTAATTGTGTCTATAAAATAAAATGCTTGCTTGGAATGTGATGCGATATACATCGGACAAACATCACCAGAGAGAAATCAAAATCAGAAGAAATGAACACCATAGAGCTGCTACTATTCCACCACCGAGAAATCCCGCTGAACTACAAAAACTTGAAAAATCATCAACCATAGGTCTACATGCTATAGAATCAGGCCAAAAAATTGATGTTGACAATATTGGAATTGTCCAGAAAAACTTCAGAAATCACAAAGAACGTCTAATATCAGAAGCACTTCATATCAAGTGGAATCAAAATTGCCTGAATAGGAATGATGAACTAAAACAGAATCTGATCTGGTTGCAACACCTCCCACCCCCATCAAGTGACAAAATCAACACGAATGTGATAAGCAAGTTCACTATGTAAACACACACTACTTTTATAATTTTACACACCGATCAAATCCAACAATCCACACTTGATTTTGTTATCTTTACCAATTGACCAACTTGACAACTAAAAATGCCCCCAGACAAACGAACGATGATCAAGTTAGTAAACTTTATTTTGATATCATAACAGACGTACTATTACCTTTGTTATTTGGTTTAGTGATATTCATTGCTATTTTTACTTTCAATATGTCCTTTCAAATTGACCTAAGTCTATTTTCTCACCTCTTAACTCTTTGTTATATATATGCTGAGATTTTGTAAATTCTGGTTTAATAATACTTTGACAAAGCTATTAGCATTAAATAGCGAAACGTCAGTAAAAACAATATCGTTTTGTTTCTCATTCATTGGGAAATACAAAAACCTTTATTATAGTGTTACTCTCCAATCGATAAATTTGAATAGCACCACAAGATTATATATATGCATGAAATATCCAGAATATAGATGTTATCGATTTCATGGATTAATTTGACCGCTGATTGAATTTCAGTTTTCAATGTAGGGAGTAAAATGGATCTGAGACATGGCAAAGAGTGAATCCATTTGAGCTACCACCACTGAGAACCATTTCCAGGCATATCATCCATGATTTACAGCTATTGGTTCTTAGTGTCTTCAGGATCCCAGACATACAATCTGCACCTCTTTCTACGTAGATACCTTGAAACAACACTTGAAGAATTCATGGATTGACTCCACTACCTGATTTGAACACCTTTAACCCTTTTCCAACCTAATCCTATGCCAGCTAACATTACCAGACAAGGAAGGCGATGACTTAGTATTTTTTTTTATTCCTTTACGTTCCCAGTGGAACATAGGGAGGCTTCAAGCAAGAGGCTTGAAGTTTCGGTAGCAGTGGTGTTTATTTTTTACGGGATGGGGCTGCTAGCCTCATGCCCAACCTTCCCTCTTTACCAGTCTTATTACTGGGCTTAGCGAGGTAAAGGAGTGCGTCCAGTGACCGGGGATCGAACCCCGGACCACATGAGGCATGGTCGGCTAGCATTCTACCGCTGTGCCACCGACGCTGATGACTTAGCATGAGGTAACAATATGTCCTAGCCATTCCAATCGATATGTAGCTTTAGCACCACATTGATTGACTAGCTCTCCTTACTCTAACGTTCTACTCCCAGCCTCAATATTACTCACCATATGACATCAGTTAACACGACAGGTAGAACGCAAATATGTATGGTCCTCCACTTTAAATAACCATGTCTCACACGTCCCTGGATCAATAACCGAAATATAGTCTCACTGAGAATGCCTGACGGTCACCAATGATTGCTATCCATTTCAGACAACAACTCTTATGTCACTGCATGAATTCAAGTAAAGTGAAATCCTGTAACCAATCAAATCCCTACAAACCAACACTTGAATATCGATGAGATGCTCACTAGCGACTTGTCTTATTCAGGTAGGTAGTTACTTGGGGTTCTAGTGGGAAGTCGTGACGAGTAAGGTGCAGCAGGTCGGGTGTGAGGACAAATACTCGCCGAAGATATTGGCTAGTGGTTGCGCTACGTTGTGAATTGGCAGAAGTTAGAATTCATGGGCCATTTGATCTGGTCTCAGTGGCTTGATGGTCTACGAGCTAGCTCGCCTTGTAACCAGAATGTCCTGGGTTCGAATCCTGGTGAGTGCGTACTGAAGAAGAGTCCCAACTAGGACGAAACAGCTGTCTAGCACTTCATTGCAGGTTTTCCAATGGTTCTCTAACCAATGTCAGCTCATGATGAAATCCTGTAACCAATCAAATCCCTACCAACCAACACTTGAATAAAGTGAGTTCATTGTCAGACGTCACCACGACACTTCACGATCGATAGAGCTAAATGCTACCCTTCAGATCAAGAAGTATGACAAGAATCGAACACTTGGACGTATACCTGCTAACCAGAACCTGTCAAAGAGTGAAGATATGATGAGTGAATTCTAGTCGAAACCTGACGTCTTCACAATTTCAATTAATCTTCATATAACTAAGAACCTTTGGATGTTAACCACAAAACTAAAACATTTAAAACTTCTATAGAACTATACTTATAATCTTCGATACTGAAAGTCAAAAAAATAACAGTGTTTTAATAATTCCGTATTAATTTGTTTATTAGATATATCACACACAAAGTGAAACAGTATTATTTACTGGATGACGTTTCCAACACAATTTATTGTTCATAATCATAACATCAATTATAATCACACGACTTCGAAACTTGAGTTTTATAGTTTTCTTTGTTCTCTCTTATTTGTCGTCGTAGGCGTGGAGTAGAATTTTCCAGATGTCCGAGTGGACAGGTGTTGGAGCATTCCTATTACACGTATTTGCAGTTGATTTGATAAATAAAGCTTCCGTTATCAATCTGTCTCTCCACCCTGTTACATTAGATTTTAAAACTGTCATCTTATCCCATCCTATTGTATGGGATGACATTATGATTATGAACAACAATAAATTGTGTTCGAAACCTGATCATCCAGTAAATGATACTGTTTCACTGTGTGTGTGATATATCTAATAAACAAATTAATAGGGAATGACAACATTCTTGCACACTTTGTAGACAGTGAGCATAAAATTGTTGTTCATACAGCACTTAAAGTCACTTATCGTATTCTAATTAATCTTAATTTTGCTTTACGAGTTCGTCTTCTACATACAGCTGAAGTCATTGGAATCCACCTGTGGAAGAAGCCAAACCTGTGTGTTCAGAAAAAATTCGTACAGCCACTTTCCGTACCTTCGCCGTCTCTTTACATGAATGTAAAAACCTGACCATTTCACTCTCTCCCTAAGTGGTTTTCTTTTTCAAAAAACCATCATAAACCAAATTATTTTATTCTTATGACTACTTCATATTTAATTGTTCATTACGTAATCAACTCGAACACTCAATTATTCCTAACTTACTCTTTATTTTTCCACAATTATGCATTATGCAATCCACTGGTTGTAACCATTTCTACCCTTTAATTGTTTGTTCGTTAACTATCACACACCCCTTGAAATATTGATATGAACTAATTATTGTTAACAAACCTATCGCCACTAGATTGGAAAAGAAGCTTGGCAGAAGTTAGAATTCATGGGCTGGCCATTGAATCGGACCCCAGTCGCTTAATGGTCTACGAAATCTTGATGATTTCTAAGAAAATATTCCGTCTTACCTTCTACATCAAGAAGTTAAGACATTCTGGAATAACCCAACCCTTACTCCTACGATTCGTTAACTCTTGCATCCTGCCTATTATTCTCTATTGTTCCCCCTAAGTTGTTCCAGGGCTACTAAGGAAGGACTTTAACATATTACGCAGGATGTTAAAGGTTGTCAGCAGGGTAAGCAACGTGCCACTTAACCAGCTTGTTAATATTCTGGTCGACAGGCACTTGGACTCATGTGAAAAGTGGGCTAAATCCATTCTATCTAACTCACACCACCCTCTTCATTCACAACTCTCCCCTTGTATCTCATCAGGCAGGACCAGAAGCCTATATAGAAAACTATATGCTCGCACCAGCAAGTACAAAAACTCAACCA